TGCAATTTATTAAACCATATTTCAAAGGTATTCAGCCCCTCTGTGTCAATACTTTGTTTTCCTAATTTGTAAATTATGAAACATTCCTTTGTATTCCATTTTAGAATGTTAAGTGTTTGTTTTCATGAATATGTGTTGTCAGTAAACAACAATAATTGAGAAAAAAAACTGTGATCATAGGTTCATATATTCTTGCATGTTTTCTCTCCAGACCAGTTCCAGTACCAAAGAAAATTTCATCTCCTTTTTCCCAGAGGCTAAAGCACAAATTCTACCAATTCCAAATTGTTCTAAGCCATAGAAAACTGTTTTTACTACAAGCATGGCATCATAATCTCACCCCCAAATTCATTAAAGCCTTATAAACCTTTTTACACGTGAACTTCTTTGTGTGATTATTTTAGCATTTAGTAAACAGAAATCATTTTGATAAATCTAACTGACCTAAAACAGGAAACTGGTTAATATTATATGATGCTATAGTGAGGGAAGAGGCATTGTGTCTTTTTATCCAGATTAAATGAAATATTACTGAGGAATAATAATAATAATAATAATAATAATAATAATAATAATAATAATAATAATAATAATAATAATAATAATAATAATAATAATAAAAACATTGACTTGTAACAGTGAGTCTTGGTTGTGTTGGGTAACAAGTTTCAGTTCCCTTTCTGTCTTTGTTTCTTTCTTCTTTTGTTCTCTCGCTCCCTCTTTCTTCCTTTCTTGTTGTTGCATATGCAGCTTTGCCTGTTTGTTGTTTTAGAAACGTTTCTGTCCTCCAGCAAGTCCTGATCCATTCAGTCAGCTATATTTAAAAGGTTTAAAAATACTGAGAGTTCCCAAGTGATATTTTGGAATGTTTTTTTTTCTTTTTTTTTTTTTTTGTAAATTAAAGTATACACGTCTACTGACATGTTAACATGTGTACTGACATGTGAACACGTTTAATGACATGTAAACACGTTTACTGACATGTTAACATGTGTACTGACATGTAAACACGTACATGTCAGTACACATGTAAACGTGTGTACTTAATTTACACATAAGTAAATTAAGAAAAGAAATGTATTAAACAACAAATAAAAAGTTAGAATGTGTGATGAGAATTGGAAATATAAAATATTTATAAATAATAAAAAAAAGTGTCATCAAATTTTCTTGAAGGTGTTTTTGCAGCAGGTCTACCTTTCCTGTCTGTCTAGGGAGAAGTTTTGACTGAAAATGTTTTGGGATCAGAATGATTATAACCTAAAACAAGAGAAAGTCATCATTATCTGCAGAGATCTGAAATGTTGCTGGTAGTAAAACATTTGTTTAAAGCAGAAGGAAGTGAAACCTAAGAGCAGATATGCTGAATGTAACATCACACTCTCTTTGCAACTAAATATTGGGAAGATTTAGAGTCTCAGTGCATGTTACTGTATCTAATTAGGATGCTTTAGTTATTGTGCTTAATATGTCATGATCATCATAGAGAAAAAAATCCAATAAGTTTAATTTTATTATTAAAATTCTAGTTATGAACAATCGGAATTGCATCGATCCACTTTTTCATTCCATTCTTTTTGTTTTTTCTCTTTTTTCAATATTCCAAGAGCATGTTCTATCATTTAAAGCAGAGATATTCCAGAGTCACCACAATCAAAATAAGTTTGAATAAAGCTCTTAAGGGTAAGGGCTTTATTCATAAAATAATAGACTTTTTTCTTCTATGAATTAAAACACCTGACAGAACTTAAATTATAAACTGTAATTTCAGTGAGTGTGATTCATCTCTCTCTGCCTTTCTTAATTTCCAGGCTGCCATACAAATGCTGCTGAAAACACAAAGCAACATGATGTCAGAGCCTGCAGCCAAGTTCCCACCACCACAGACCCACTGTGTCACAGTGAGAGTGGGCTGTGGCTATGGTGAGACAGACGGTAGCTGGAGAGACCCTGACAGATGCCCTTTTCAGCAGCAAGCACAGGCTGTCTGCCACAGGTCAAAGTGTGGGTCAAAGGTCCCCATGCCTGCTGTATGTATGGGAGGGCCAGAAACCATCGTCAAATATTAACAGAAGGAAGGATCAACATGCTAATCAGCAGTCTGAGCTGAATCTTTAGATCAGTATGGATTTATTTATATATTTTGTTCTCAACACTGGACAAATAATTTGACTATAACTACAATAAAACCTGAAGAAGTGTTTAAGATGCTCTCTACAAAACCTTTAAAATCTGTTATGATGAAACTTCTAGTGCCTGCATGAACAGTTATCCAGACACCACAATGCTTATGAATCAAATGTATTTAATATTATTATATTAATGTGCTAAACTTTCATCTCCAGTTCAGTTTGGAGGGTACTAAGAACAGATGGACACTTCAGTAAACCAAGCTTTTATAAACCTCACTGTTCCTAGTTTGTTTTAACCTCATGTTTGTCGTCTACATGCATTTCAAATCTATTCATTTCACTTAAACTATTTCATTTTTTTTACATTACATCCAATTATTTATACACCAGTTCATCTTGAATCCCTTAATAAAAAAGTATTTTTGTCATGTACATGTAAATTTCAATAGATCTTTGTTATCAAACTGAAATCATTATGCAAATTATTTTAAAACATCTGCATCTAAGAAACACATTGCAGCGAGTTATAGACTTTGAACTTTCACTTCTCCTGGACGATCGTCTAGCGACAATAACTTGCATTGTGGACTTTGCCATTATGTCATTCCTCATAATGAGAATGGATATATTGATGGTGGAGAGAAAAAAACTCCCCTTTAACAGAGAAACACCTCGACCAGAACCAGGCTCAGTACATTCGGTCGGGTGGGTGGTCCGTCGCTCGGTTGTAACCATCTGCCAGGTTTGAGAAGACAGAGCAGAATGTAGAAGAAACAGAAGAACTTATGTCGGATTATTTTCCAACCTAACTTTAGTTTAAACAGCAGCAGTACAAGTTTGTTGGTGCACACAGGATGCAGACAACATATAAGCTTCCAGTGTGGGTTTTAACGTATGACACATGTTGACCAGCAGATTCTGATGCAGACAACACTAAGAATGGAACGCAACAACCCTGCTTGTTTTTAATGTTCTGAATTCATTTAAAAATCCTGCAACACGGAGGCCAACCCACACAAGTAAAGCCTTGGAGTGTCTGAGAGCAAAAGCTATGAAAACAATACTATGAAACCAACCTGAGTGGGGTTCCAGAAACACACAAGAGACACAAACATGCTGTGGTGGCGTAGGGGATAGCGAAATCCGCATTTGAAGGCCCTGAATCCTCGACACGGCAGGCGCGGGTTTGATATTTACAGAATGTCTTCCCCATCTCCTTTCCCCCATCCTGTCAGCCTACTGTCATATAAGGGACACTAGAGCCCTGTATATGACCTGAAGGGGAGAAAAAAAATATGAACGTAGAACATTCAGGTATGTTGAAGACATACAATCTGAAGGAAAAAATGCTGTTAATATCAAAAGACTATTCTTCTTAAGGGACACAAGTTATGATATATTCTGTGTGATCTAATTATGACTTTCCCAGCTAATAAGAATCAAAGGTTCCGAAGAGATAACAAAGGAAATGAATATGTGTCGTTTTCAACCAACTTATGGCATTATAGGCTGATTACCAAACTATAAGTCTTAAACTGAACAAAAGGTAAGTTAACATTTTGATTACAATGATATAAATAATATTTTTAGGAACAGCTAGAATGTGAAAGACCTTACAAGGAAGTTCCTTCTCTTGGTCAGCATTGACCCACTTATGCTTCTAAGGGTTGATCAAGCGACAGCATTACGGCAGCACTACTGCATTCAACGATTTGCATGAAATATAACTGATTTGTACAAGAAGGGAGTGATGTTCCACCCTGAGGCATCCTCCAACAGGAAACAGAGATGCTTCACATGTGTGTGTATGATGTACCAGAAAGAGTTGGGATGAAATACTGGTAGAGCCCCTGCACTCACATTCACAAAGACCTGGGCTGTTGGGAGGGGTAAATAATGCAAACTATTTTTAGAGGACTGCTCCAATTTGTGCTTCGCTCCTCTGAACCCAAACAGAGAGAGCTAATCAGTGCTCCCTCCCCACAGCCACAGAGACACAGATCCTCAGCCTGCATGAGAATACCTACAAAACTCTGGAGATTAGCAAGATGAGGCACATATTACAGCCTCCATTTTAAACTTTATGTGTTGATGTGTTCAGGAACTGCATTTTTATGATATATTTTCATATAAACTCACCACTATGTTATGTATTCATAACATAGTGAAATTTTGTAGAGATGAAATGCACATTAGAAAGTCAGCAGTCTTACCTCTTAAGTTTCTTGCACTTTCAGAGTGTAAGTCTTCCTGACAGAGTGAAAAAGCTAACAGAGGATGTATTGATCGTGATGTTTTTTTCAGCTATCACAGAAAATAACACAGGCTATCACACCTGACTTTTAAACTGTGTATTAACACGACCTGTAATGACTTCTGATACGTTTCCTTCTCTCTCCAGGATCTAACTGCAGCTGCCACTGTTTCTGGAAGTCCTTCAGTCTGCTCCTCAACAGAACCTTCTATCGTGGCTTTTTCCAGCAATGGGACCGGGTTGATGTTCAGCAAGTCACAAGTCATTTCAACCCATATTCACAAAGACTCTCAGAGTCCTCCCACAGAGCTCTTAGTTTTTACCCTATACAATTCTTCCAAAGAGTCCTGTTTTCAGATTGATTCATTCAGCTGCTGCAGATGACTCCGGTTGACAAGTGGACAGAACTCCCAATCCAAACTAAATATTCTAAAGAACATTATAGTTAATGTGTGGTTGGGTTTTGCACCAGGTAGTGAGCTTTTCCATCATACTTTCTGTTTCTCACTATTGTGGGCGAGTTGTGTGTTCAACTCTCTGCTGATGTTTGCAGCGACACTCAGCAATGGAGAACCTCAAGTTCTGGTTCTGAAGAAGTAAAATAAACCCAGATATTCAGACTCAGATCAGTTTATTGTTCCACTATTCATATAAATATAATTATGTAGCTGAGGCTGCTCTTAATTTGTAGGACGGTTTAAAGGCACTGTTCAGGTTTGTCACTGCTCTCAACCTGGAGTGTCGGTCAGAACACTACTTCGATTGGATTCAGTTCAGGACCAGATGTGGGGCAGCAGGTGGAAGAAGGAAGACATGAGGCAGGATCCCTTTTACTTTCTGTATTCCAAGTTGGGTCACAGATCTTAGTCCAACAACAGTAATTGGCATCAAGGTATATTTGGTGGGTGTGGGTGAGTGCTTCAGATATGTGTGTGTGGTCTCCTAGAATAAACAGAAATACAGAAATACGTTTCAGGTGTTCTATCATTACACATCACTATTACACCTTAGATAAACTAAGAAGGAAATAAATAAAGCCTAAACAAGCTTAACATCAGAATCACTATTCATAAGTGAACTAAAACAAATGAATTAATATCAATGCCTGTGCGCCTGTCAAGTACATCGCTCAGTGCTCTACAACACACATATAGCCGATAGCTCGGACCTAACGGTAAATAACGGTTAACAAATAAACTCCGAATCATTCATTTAACTTCAGCAAACAATCAAATATAATAACTTACTTGTCACTAACGCACACTTATAAGGCGATCACACATATTCTGCCCCTCTCACGTATTAGCAGTGGCTCTGTTACCCTACCTCCCACTCTGATATCAGGAACGGTTCTCTTTCTTACGGCGATGTGATGACGTCATCGCCGCCCCCAACTACGGTATGCCCTAAGTGGCAAAAGTAACGCTGAACAGAAGTCACTACGAACAGTAGTAGTTAACAAACTCAGATTATTTAAGGGGTCTTTTGAACAAATTATATTCTGGCACTTTGATTTTTAAAACATGGAACCTTTTGGATCCACGTTTATCAATAATGTTTTATCAAAATTGAAAATAATATTCACTTCACAAGTTAATATTAGATACTTCTGGTGTTTAACACTGTCGACACCAAAACTGCAGCTGCATCAGAAAGCTTCCCTTTGAAATGCTTTGTTGTTGAAATGTGCAATATAAATAGAATTTGATTGATTGATTGATTGATTGATCGATCAATTGATTGTTTGATTGATCTTTCTTGCAGATATTTAGATCTGCAACAACAAATCTAAATATTACTTTATTTCTTTACAAATTTTCTTTTAACATTGTGTGAGTTTCCTTTCCCCCTCCCTGATCTCTGCTTGTTGTTGATTATAAATAATAAAGCAATAATTATCTAAAACCAAAATGGACACCATGCATCTTCAAATATATTCTGTAAGAATCCTATGAACGATTTAAATAATGAGGGGTCATTAGAAAGATGTCTAGGTAAACTCGCTGGTGTTGTGGTATGACTGATAGAGAATATCTACTGTTCATGGAGACACGGTGAACAGAACACAGCATTCGTTGGGTTTTTGCTGTTCCTTAAATAATGTGCTTTAGAATATTTGCTTTTCATTTAGCAAGAGCCAACATAAACAAGGCAGTATTAGAAATTAACCACAATTATTTTAAAAGCTTTTACATCTTTTGTATTATTTTGTAGGATTTTGCTTTGGAGCTGCTTCTTGCTTTGATTTGTCCCTCTGGGCTGCAGATTACAGTCAGTCAGTTCTCTGTCTGGCCATAGAATGTAATTCCTCGTGATGTTTTGGCTTCGCTGGCTGATCTCAATGCTCCCTACCACGCTCCCCAACTGACCCTGACCCTGACCGCCTGCTTCTGTCCTCCCTCACATGCTGTTTATATGTGTGTGCTTGTGAGTGTGTGCGTTTGTGTGTGTGTACTGAGGCGCCTAAACTAAACTCATGTCTGGTCAGAGTACAACTGGAAAATAAGCTGTACACATCCACTGGAGCACACAGTGGTGCTCCCATGTTTCACATTGTTCTCTGTCTGCTTGACTGAAAAAGACAGAAACCAAGTCCAGAAAGAAGACAGCAGATATGGGGATGATACGGTCTACAAGGAAATTCACATAAATATTTAGGCTGATTTTCTGGATCTGGATTCAATACATCAGGAATGTGCTACAAAAGCATTTTCAGTTTTCTTCTTTGCTCAGTGTAATTTTAAAACAGACCCTGCTGTACACAGAAGTCTCAGATCTGGAAAACTCACTAAGTGGGACAGAACAAGATCAACAAAAAAAATCTTTAATTACAAAACAGTTTACTTTTCTAATATTAATCAACAAAAATATGAAGCCGTATTTCTACATTTAAAAGTGTCAAATTGTGATACAGCAGAGACAATGATTTCATTTTCTTCTCACTTGTTTATGTTAATGGATTTTACCTTCATCATCCTCTGGTTCATTTATGTTGGAAATGACTTTACAGGAGTTGATCATTTGATTTTGCCAAATTGTTCCAGAAAGCTCATTGTTATAATTTCCAAAAGCCTTCAAAACAGAGATATCAATAAACAGCATCATCAGTCAATGTCCTCCATGAAGCTGTTACAGTCTGGACTTTAATATTTCAGAGAACACCAGGTGAGTTTGAAGGACACTACAGGTCAATCGAATTCCAGGGGTAGAGGGACCTGGAAATGGAATGAGCCTTTCGTCTTTTGACGATAAAAGAGTTGTGAGAACTGAGAGAACTCCATCTGCTGGTAATGATGACGAACACTGCCAGATGAAAACATACCAGAAGAGAATAAACATAAACATCCCTATGTGATGGAAAAAAGGATAATTGGAAAACTTCAAGAAGAAAGTGTATAAAGATTTATATTTCATAGCCTGAAGTGTTGATTTATTGAGAATCAGCCATCTTTTCTGATGAGTGCAATTAATAACATTCCTTGTATATTATTCTAAGTTTGGACACAGTCCAGTACTTGGGCATCCAAGTGTTATGTCTGACCTGACAACAAACTGCAAGATCACACACTAATCCTTCAAGCAGAATGTGGGTGTGCGTGTGTCCGTGTGTGTGTGAGCGAGATGTCTGGCTTCAATCCCCTTCAAACAGGAAATCTAACGTTTCGTAGTAATGCTCTGCCTTATTTTTATGTTTTACAGTTTGGAGAATGTGGGCCTGATCTCTAAACATTTCAAACTGTAATCAGATAGTTCAGTGTGTGAGTAATCCGAGAAGCACTGGCTGGGTCAACTAAAGAATTTGGTTGAGGTAGCAAAGAGTGGACAATATTCTATAAATACAAACACATTTATAACTTCCTTGCGCTGTGTTCGCCATGTTGAACCTTAATGTGCTTCAGATGAACACCCTCATGGCCCCACATAGCCCCAACCAAACTTCACTCTGGTAAAACCTGGGAGACGATACGTTCACCCAGCAGGGAGGTCAAAGGAGCTGAATCCCCACTATCACCATGATCCAGGGGAACCCACCGTGCATGGCCTGAATTCATTAGAAAAAACAGCATTTATATTTATTCTTTTTAGATATGATACCTTTATATTGATAAAACAATTTACATTTATTATTATTATTATTATTATTATTATTATTATTATTTATTATTATTATTATTATTATTATTATTATTATTTATTATTATTATGTTAACTCATCTTTCTTGACAACCCTAGGATATTCTGTTATGAGTGTTGTCATTTTTGAAATACATAAGCAGCATCAACAACAATCTGGCTGATGGGATGGAAATTCCAGTGTGAATCTGAGAAAAGCTGCTTGTCTGGGATAAATCTCACCTGAGTCTCCGCCATGGTTGCTTCCATGTAGCCGGACCGCCTACTTTCAGTTCATCAAGTGAGCAAAAGTTCATTGAGTTGAATTCTCTTCGGTAAAAATTCTTTTCTTTGATGAGATCATATATTCTCAGAATGAGATATGGAAAATCACAATGATCAGCAAAAACAAAACAAAAAACAAACAAAAAAAAAAGAACACTGAAATTTATTGTTTTGCTCTCCCTTTCTACCCTTTTAGGAACCATTTTTAGCCATTTTCCAAACTATTCAGATGCAGCTGAATAAATTATTAAGACGTGAGCATCAATGATTTATCTCTCTTGGCATTTGTGATTATGTATTTACAACACTGATTTATTCCTTCTCGCACTGTGCTGCACCTGTGGATGGGATTTATTGTGAGCAAACCCCCACATATCTCCACGTGTGACATCCATATTAACAGAGAGAGGATCGGCTGCCTGTCTGATAGATAAAAGTTCATTTAAATATATGAACTTTAGACTGTGTAATATTTGATTTGGGAAGAAGAAAGAAGAAAAATTCTCCTTTACCCCTTGTTTAATTGTTTATGCAAAGTCAGCTGTGGAACAATCCTTTCACTTTGATAACAGAGATGAGATTGCTGCTGCGGATCTGCAGTTTTCGGCCAACATCTGCACTAAATGACGTTGGTGCACACATACTGGCCCAAAGGCATGCACATTAACACACACACACACACGCATACACGCACGCGCACACGCACACACTTACACACGCACACACACACACGCACAGTCTCTATAATCTGATTGTTCCAGAAAAGTGAATGTAAAATTGCAATCAGTGTAGCACAATTATTAGCCTCCTGCAATTCGATCTGCACTGCTTGCTACCTCTTCCACAGCTGGAAATCAGCGAGTTTACTGCAGAAGGAAACGAGAGAGAAAAGTGAATAAAGATGAAGGGAGATTGAAGAATGATTGAAAAGTAAAAAAATCAATTGCAGTCACTTGTATTGCAGCAAGGGCAGAAGAAAGTGATTGTGAGAGCGAAGAAGAATGCACAGTGATGGAACATTAAATTGAGAAGCAAAGCAAAAGAAATACGGAAGAGGAAGAAATAGAACAACAAAAACAAAAAAATATATCCATTTTCTTACACCCTTGTCCCTAGCGGGTTTGGGAGGGCTGCTGGTGCCGAGACATTTCAGGCAAGAGGCGGGATCACCTTGGATAGGTCTCCAGTCCATCTCAGGTCAACACAGAGACAGACAGGACAAACAACCACACACACATCCGTACCTAAGGAGAATGTAGAGAAACAAATGAACCTAAAAGTAATTTTTTTGTACTGTGGGAGGAAGTTGGATACTCCAGTACCAGTGAGGGTCTAAATACTGTAATAATACCACCTGTTCCTCAGGTTGGTGGTCTTCATTCTCCTGTTCTGAGTCAGACTCCAACATGGAATGTTAGCTAGATGAGTCTTCAGCTGGCAATAAAAAGATTTTCTGCAGGTAGATAATTGTGTTGCTTCTATAAAACTACAAAAATAGCTGAACAGGGCGCAGTGGAATGCTTTGTGACCTGGAGGGGGCGGGGCGTGAAATGTATCGTTCACATTTAAAATTACAGCAGCAAAACAAGTTGCTCTAAACGCTTCAAAACACCTCAAGACAGGGTAACGGAGGAATCTTTGGAGCTACAATAACCAGAAATTCACACCAAGACATTGCAGTTGTACTTTATATAAATCATAAATGAATGATTTACATGTGAAAAAGAAGGATTTAAAAGCATGATACTTCCACTTTAAATCAGACAGCACTAAGAGTTAATGAATAATAGAATTACTTTCAGTTGCTTTTCCAAAATATATCATTTCATACAAAAGTCTTCAGTTGAGCACTAAAAATCCTGCACTACTTACACATTTTGAAATTCTGTCCAAGTCTAACCAAAGTATGACTATAGAGTCCATATCCACATTGGATTAGGACTACACATTACTGTTTCTTTAGGCTCAGTGACTGTTTGA